ACATGGAGGCAGTGACAGTGTTTGTATTTCTAGGTGCAAAGATCAATGCAGACACAGACTGCAGCCAGGAAATCAGAGACATTTACTTCTTGGGAGGAGAGCAATGACCAATCTCGATAAGATAGTGAAGAGTAGAGACATCACACTGGCAACGAAGATCCGCATAGTCAAAGCAATGGTATGCCCCATAGTCACCTACGGATGTGAGAGCTGGACCATAAGGAAAGCTGAGCGAAGGAACATAGATGCTTTTGAACTGTGGTGTTGGAGGAAAGTTCTGAGAGTGCCTTGGACCGCGAGAAGATCCAACCAGTCCATCCTCCAGGAAAGAAAGCCCGACTGCTCATTGGAGGGAAGGAGAGGAGAGGCAAAGACGAAGTATTTTGGCCACATCATGAGGAGACAGGAAAGCTTAGAGAAGACAATGATGCTGGGGGAAATGGAAGGAAAAAGGAAGAGGGGCCGACCAAGGGCAAGATGAATGGATGGCATCCTTGAAGTGACTGGATTGACTTTGACGGAGCTGGGGGTGGTGACGGCAGACAGGGAGCTCTGGTGTGGGCTGGTCCATGAAGTCACGAAGAGTCGGAATCGACTGAACGCATAAACAACAGCAACAATCCCACCGTTAATTGCACGACTAAGGCTTGGCCCATACATTGGCACTTCAATTAGCAAACTTGCTCTGCACTTTACAAACTCCATTAAGACCTCTTATCCATGCTGCTCCTGAAACCCCTGAATTGAATACTAATATTGCACTCTGTGACATTGGAGGGGGTGGGAAGAGGCTGGAAGAGACTGAGGATTGCAAGGTGGAAGGGAGGGAAGTATGGGGAAGTGAGCCAGCTCCCAAGCCAAAGAACTGCCACTGGGCCACGGGGTGAGGCGGTGGGGTGGGGGTGGGGCAGGGGCGGCTCATCCATTACGCGAAGTAAGCGGTCGCAGAACACTTTTTTTGCCAGGGGTGCAGAGGCACCTCTGTAAATGCCCCTCGACCGCCACTTGAGGAGCGCCCCCTCAGCTCACAACAGCCCTAGCAGTCCGGGGGGAGCCTCGGCTTTCTTGCCTCGCTGCTGGGCGATCCTCTTCCTAAAGGGGCCGGGCCCTTGAGCCTCGCCTAGCCCCTCTCGTTCCTGCTCCACCTGGCCACTGGGTGCGCGAGCAGAGCCGGTGCTCAATCGTTCTCAAACGTTCGATCCCTTCCCCATGACCAGCTCTCTTTCTCGATCCCCCAGCACTCCACCCGCCTCCTCTCCTCTCCCCAATCCGCGGATGGGCCAAGGGGTGGAGCCGCCGCACCTGGCCCGCTTTGGGTCCGGAGGCGTGTCTGAAGACCCCAGCGTGCGCACCAAAAGTCGCCTCTTCTCCTGACTTTCTCTTCAGCCATTGGGACCAAGAGAGAGAGAGAGAGAGAGAGCCCCTCCGGCTGGAGGTATCTCCCACCTCCGCTCCCTCCTTTGTTTTTGCGCCTACCTTCAGGAAGGGTGGGCATCTCCACCTCTCTCTCTCTCTCTCTCGGTCCCAATGGCTGAGGAGAAAGTCAGGAGAAGAGGTGACTTTTGGTGCACACGCCGGCTTCAGGCATGCCTCCGGACCCAAAGCGGGCCAGGCAAGGGAGCAAGTGCGGCAAGTGTAGTTACTGGGATGTATAGTTCACCTAGAATCAAAGAGCATTCTGAACTCCACCAATGATGGAATTGAACCAAATATGGCACACAGAACTCCCACGAACAGAAAATATATATCAATGATTGGTTTGGGGGGGGGGGCGCCAAAATACTGTTTGCTTACCGTCAAAAATTACCTAGGGCCGCCTCTGGGGTGGGGGAGGACATATTGGGGGAGGCAGGACTCCAGCAGTCAAGCGAACTCCAGAGAAGTAATATTGCGGTGGGGAAATATAGGAATGGGACACCTAGAGCAATTTGGCTTAGGGAAAGAAAAAGAATACTCATCATATTGTCAAAGGCTTTCATGGCCGGAATCACTGGGTTGTTGTAGGTTTTTTCGGGCTATATGGCCATGGTCTAGAGGCATTCTCTCCTGATGTTTCGCCTGCACCTATGGCAAGCATCCTCACAGGTAGTGAGGTCTGTTTGAACTAGGAATAATAATAATAATAATAATCACCTCTCAACAAAAGTTTGCTCCAGGCACTGTCAGGCCATTATATGCTAATCAAGGTGGTCAGTTGAAACATTCACACCTAGCTCCAACAGACAAAAGTCCTTTGTCCCATCCTGGTCATTCCACAGATTTTTTCCTAGTTCCAACAGACCTCACTACCTTTGAGGATGCTTGCCATAGATGCAGGCAAAACGTCAGGAGAGAATGCCTCTAGACCATGGCCATATAGCCCGAAAAAAACCTACAACAACCCAGAATACTCATCATTCCAAATCGGTCTACTGACACTGGAAAAACTGAGTACCCAGGATGGTGGTCCCTCTATAGTAAGGGTGGTACTATTGAACGCCAGATCTGTAAATGGAAAATCAGCTATTATCCAGGATAATCCAGCTAACCTCCATCCACTCAAGGGCCAGGGCTTACCAGTTCTCTGTGTCTCTGCCAGAGTTTTTAAGGTTGGCTTTGAGCCCATCTTTCAATCTCTTTTCCTGTCCTCGAACATTCTGTTTTCCATTTTGTAAGTTCAGAGTGGAGCAACTTTTGGCCTGCAATGGGATTTTGGCCTGCATCAATAGGAGCCTAGTGTCTAAATCTAGGGAAGTCATGCTCCCCATGCTCTATTCCGCTTTGGTTAGACCACACCTGGAATATTGTGTCCCATTCTGAGCACCACAATTGAAGAGAGATATTGACTCTAAGCTGGAGCAGGGAAGAGGGAGCAAGCTTGTTTTCTGCTTCCCTGGAGACTTGGACGCAAGGGAACAATGGCTTCAAACTACAAGAGAGGAGATTCCACCTGAACATGAGGAAGAACTTCCTGACTGTGAGAGCCGTTCAGCAGTGGAACTTTCTCTGCCCCAGAGTGTGGTGGAGGCTCCTTCTTTGGAAGCTTTGAAACAGAGGCTGGATGGCCATCTGTCAGGGGTGATTTGAATGCAATATTCCTGCTTCTTGGCAGAATGGGGTTGGACTGGATGGCCCAGGAGGTCTCTTCCAACTCTTTGATTCTAGGATTCTATGATTCTATGATTCAACTGGTTTGGGAGATGGTGATCTTTGGGCATTTGGACAACGTGGCCCGTCTAGCAGAGTTGATGGCGGAGGACCATCGCTTCAGTGATGGTGGTCTTTGCTTCTTCTTCCAGCACACTGACATTTCCCCGCCTGTCTTCCCAAGAGATTTGCAGGATTTTTTGGAGGCAACGCTGATGGAATCATTCCAGAAGTTGCATGTGATATCTGTAGACAGTCCATGTTTCACAGGCATATAGCAGGGTTGGGAGGACAATAGCTTTATAACAAGTCCCTTGGTCTCTCTACGGATGTCCCGGTCCTCAAACACTCTCTGCTTCATTTGGAAAAATGCTGCACTCGCAGAGCTCAGGTGGTGTTTTATTTCAGTGTCAATGTTGACTTTGGTGGAGAGGTGGCTGTCAAGATAGCGGAAATGGTCCATATTTTCTAATGTTACACCACTAAACTGTATTTCTGGCATTGCAGACAGATTGACTGGTGACTGCTGGATAAAACATTAAGCGAATGGTTCTCAACCAGGGGGTCGGGACCCCTGGGGGGGTCACGAGGGGCTTTCAGAGGGGTTGCCAAAGACCATCCAAAAACGTATTTTCTGTTGGTCATAGGTGTTCCACGTGGGAAGTTTGGCCCAGTTCTATCATTGGTGGGGATCAGAATGATCTTTTATTGTAGGCGAACTATAAATCCCAGCAACTAAAACTCTCAAATGCAAGCTCTATTTCCCCCAAACTCCACCAGTGTTCATTCACATTGGGCATGTTGAGTATTCATGGGCAAGTTTGGTCCAGATGCGTCATTGTTTGAGTCCACAGTACTCTCTGGATCTAGGTGAACTACAACGCCCAAACTCAAGGTCAATGCCCACCAAACCCTTCCAGTATTTTCTGTTGGTCACGGGAGTTCTGTGTGGCAAGATTGGTTCAATTCCATTGTTGGAGTTCATAATGCTCTTTGATTGTAGGTAAACTATAAATCCCAGAAACCACAACTCCGAAATGACAACATCAATCCCCTGCCGACCCCACCAGTATTCAAATTGGGGCATATCACATATTTGTGCCAAATTTGGTCCAGCGAATGAAAATACATCCTGGATATCACATATTTATGTTATGATTCATAACAGTAGCAAAATTAGGTTCTTGTGGGTTTTTTCGGGCTATAGGGCCATGTTCTAGAGGCATTTCTCCTGACGTTTCGCCTGCATCTATGGCAAGCATCCTCAGAGGCACCTCACTACCTCTGAGGATGCTTGCCATAGATGCAGGCGAAACGTCAGGAGAAATGCCTCTAGAACATGGCCCTATAGCCCGAAAAAACCCACAAGAACCTAGTGATTCCAGCCATGAAAGCCTTCGACAATACATAGTAGCAAAATTGTAGTTGTGAAGTAGCAACGAAAATAATATTATGGTTGGGGGGTCACCACAACATGAGGAACTGTATTCAGGGGTCGCAGCATTAGGAAGGTTGAGAACCACTGCATTAAGCATTATTAAATACAGCACATAAAATCACATATCATACAAACAGCCGTTGTCTGTAAACAGTCCTGAGTTACTGCAATGTCAACTTTAACATTAAATATTCCTATCATGGGCCGAACATTAGCACTCTCATACACTTTTATCTTGGAGACGCACACTTTAGCAAATGGTTTGCAATGCCCAATGCTTCCAATTCGGAGGCTGGAAAGATAAACCGTAAGTGTTCAGGCCTGAGGAAGCCGCTATCAAAATTATTCTAGAAGGTTACAGTGATTTTTCCCAGAAACTTGGGCGTCTCCCTGGGCGTCTCCTCTCTCCCCTCCCATTCGTGTTGTCTTGCACAACCAATGAGAGATGCATCAATTCTTTGCTGGAAGCGACTCAAAGGTCCTGCGCATTGATTGTTGAGCTGGAGGAACAAGGCAGGCATTCACTCCCAAGCCAGGCTCAGTCCAGACTTTTTGCAGCAGAGAAAGACCCTCCGAAAAGTCTCTGAAAATGGAGACTTCTCCAGAGAACGATAACCCTACGCATCTTGGGCTTTCCATCTTCAACCTTCTCTTTTGCTGCTGTCCCCTCGGGCTCGCCGCCGTCTACTACTCTTGCCAGGTGAGCCCATCCTTTGCCTTTTCATGTATTTGTTGAATGTTTCATGGAAAACAAACACAGACACACGCATCAATCTGCGTTGTATGCGTCTACACTGCACATATAATGCAGTTTCTAAGTGCATTGTCCCCGCAGGAGACATCTCTAACTGTCTAAAATACACACTTATGTACATAAATGACTTTTTGGCAGAGGATTCTCTGCTTCCATTTGGTTGGCTTCTCTGTAGTTTAATATTTTTCCTTTTGTCTTGAATCCAACGTGAGAGACTTTGCCTGGTTGTTACGTTAACACATACCCCAGGAGTTTATATCGTTAAAATAAAGTCTTTTCCTTTCTCTTAAATAGCTAGCTAGCTTCTATTCGTCTTTTTCTTTCTTTCTTTCTTTCTTTCTTTCTTTCTTTCTTTCTTTCTTTCTTTCTTTCTTTCATCCATCCATCCATCCATCCATCCATCCTTCTTTCTCTATCTATCTATCTATCTATCTATCTATCTATCTATCTATCTATTTCGAACATTTTTACCCCGCTACCTACTATCTATCTATCTATCTATCTATCTATCTATCTATCTATCCATCCATCCATCTATCTATCATCTATCTTCTTTCTATCTTTCTATTTGTCTGTCTTTCTCTATTTTCTTTCTTTCTGTTGTTCTTTCTTTCTGTCTGTCTGTCTGTCTATCTGTCTATCTGTCTATCTATCTATCTCTATCCATCCATCTTTCTTTCTTTCTTTCTCTGTCTATCTCTATCTATCTGTCTGTCTATCCATCTCTCTATCCATCTCTCTATCCATCTCTCTATCCTCTCTCTCTCTCTCTCTCTCTCTCTCTCTCTATCTATCTATCTATCTATCTATCTATCTATCTATATCTATCATCTTTCTTTCTTTCTTTCTTTCTATTTGATTGTCTGTCTATCTCTATTTTCTTTCTTTCTTTCTGTCTATCTATCTATCTATCTATCTATCTATCTCTGTCTATCTCTATCTTTCTTTCTTTCTCTGTCTATCTCTATCTATCTGTCTGCCTGTCTATCTCTGTCTCTCTGTCTCTCTGTCTCTCTGTCTATCTATCTATCTATCTATCTATCTATCTATCTATCTATCTATCTATCTATCTATCTATTTATCTATCTATCTATCTATCATCTATCTTTCTTTCTATGTATCTTTCTATTTGATTGTCTGTCTTTCTCTATTTTCTTTCTTTCTGTTGTTCTTTCTATCTGTCTATTTCTTTCTTTCTTTCTTTCTTTCTTTCTTTTCTTTTTCTTTCTTTTCTTCTGTCCATCCATCCATCTCTTCTACACAGCCATATAAAATCCAAATGTAGTATTGACTTTGTAATGTTTGTATATTGATGCTATGGTTTTTAATTGTTTTAATCTGTTTTATGATGTTCAAGCATTGATTTTTGCCACTGTAACCGCTTTCAGTTGCCTGAGGGCTGAGAGAAGCAGTGTATAAATGGAGTAAATCTATCTATATCTATCTATCTATCTATCTATCTATCTATCTCTATCTATCTATCTATCTATCTATCTATCTATCTATCTATCTATCTATCTATTTGTTTGTCTATCTGTCTCCTTACTTTCTGTTGTTCTTTATTTCTGTCTGTATGTCTATCTCTTTCTTTCTGTCTTTCTGTCTTTCTATCTCTGTCTATCTGTCTGTCTATCTCTATCTTTCTATCTGTCTATCATCTATCTATCTATCATCTATCTATCTATCTATCTATCTATCTATCTATCTATCTATCTTTCTATCTATCTATTTTTTCTCTAACTATCTATTGGATTGTTGTAGGTTTTTCGGGCTATATGGCCATGTTCCAAAAGCATTCTCTCCTGACATTTCACCTGCATCTATAGCAGGCATCCTCAGAGGTCTGAGACCTCACAACCTCTGAGGATGCTTGCCACAGATGCAGGTGAAATGTCAAAGCCAGGACCAAACAATTAAACAGGAAAGGACACTTTCAAAGCAGGAACAGAATTCCCACCCTGATTTTTGTTACATGGTGTTATTGCGTATCTTGACCCAAGACTTGAACGATGGCATAGGCCAGGCCTGGGCAAACTTCCTTTCTTTGATGGCTGCATGCTAGCACTCCCCGGTAGGAGGACAGGCTGGTCAACGATGGATGGATGGATGGAAGGAAGGGAGGGAGGGGGGGAGGGAGGGAGGGAGGGAGGAAGAAAGGAAGGAGGGAGGGAAGGAGGGAAGAATGGAAGGAAAGAAGGACAGAAGGAAGGAAAGAAGGAAGGAAGGAAGGACAGAAGTAAGGAAGAATGGAAGGAAAGAAGGACAGAAGGAAAAGAGGAAGGAAGGACAAAAGGGAAGGAAGGAATGAAGGAAGGGAAGAAGGAAGGAAAGAGAGAAGGAAGGAAACAACTAAAGGGAAGGAAGGAACAGTGGAAGGTAAGGAAGGAATGAAGGAAGGAAAGGAGGAAGGAAAGAGAGAAGGAAGGAAGAATAAAAGGGAAAGAGGGGAGGAAGGAAGGAACAGTGGAAGGGAAGGAGGAAGGAAAGAGAGAAGGAAGGAAGGACAAAAGGGAGGGAGGGAACAGTGGAAAGGAAAGATGGAAGGAAAGAAGGAAAGGAGGAAGAAAAGAGAGAAGGGAGGAAGGAAAGTGGAAGGATGGAAGGAAGGAAGGGAAGGAGGAAGGAAAGAGAGAAAGAAAGACAAAAAAAGGGAAAGGAGGAAGGAAGAAACAGTGGAAGGGAAGGATGGAAGGAAGGAAGAAAGAAAAGGAAGGGAGGGAGGGAGGGAGGGAGGAAGGAATGAAGAAAGCAAGGATGAAAGGATGGAAGGGAAGGATGGATGGAAGTAAGGAAGGGAAGAGGAAGGAAAAAGAGAAGGAAGGAAGAAAAGGATGAAGAGAAGGATAGAAGGAAGGGAAGGATAAAGGAAAGAGAAAAGGAAGACAAAAGGAAAGGAAGTGGAAAGAGGGAGAGAGGGAGGAAAGAATGAAGAAAGCAAGGATGAAACAATGGAAGGGAAGGATGGATGGAAGTAAGGAAGGGAAGAGGAAGGAAAAAGAGAAGGAAGGAAGAAAAGGATGAAGAGAAGGATAGAAGGAAGGGAAGGATAAAGGAAAGAGAAAAGGAAGACAAAAGGAAAGGAAGTGGAAAGAGGGAGAGAGGGAGGAAAGAGGGAAGGAAGGAAAGAATGGAAGGATAAAGAGAGAGGTACGGGAGAGAGATAAGGAGGAAAGAAAGAAAGACAAAAGGGAGGGAAGGAGAAGGACAAAAGGGTGGAAGGAGGAAAGGAAAGAGAGAAGGAAGGGAGGATGAAAGGGTGGACGGGAAGGAGAAAGAGAGAGGGAAGGAGGAAGAAAAGAGAGAAGGAAGGATAGGATGGTGTGAGAGAGCAGGGCCTGAGAAAAGAGCCCAAGGGGCCACATCCGGGCCTGGGTTTGCCCCTAACTGGAGCTGTAGTTTGGCATTTCTGGTGGAATTTCCTTCTCTGGAGTTTCTGAAGCAGAGGCTGGATGGCCATCTGCAAGGAAGGCTTGTATGGTGCCTTTGTTCCTGGCAGAAGGGAGTTGGACTGGATGGTTTTTGGAGATCTCTTCCAACTCCTGGATGTGTTGATTCTATGATGTTGTTGGTTGCGTGCAAGGTTTTGGGTTCTGACGTCCTGGCTCTTCCTTCCTTCCTTCCTTCCTTCCTTCCTTCCTTCCTTCCTTCCTTCCTTCCTTCCTTCCTTCCTTTCTGCAGGTGAAAAATGCCAACGCCGTGGGGGACAGCAACCAGGCCGCCAAAGCATCCCGCACGGCCAACATTCTCAACATTGTCGGGATCGTCTTCGGAGTGATCGTTATTATCGCCATCGTCGTTATTTTCGTGATCATGCCGAAGCTGAGACACTGAAAGTGCTGTTGGGGAGGCACCACATCCATCCGGCTTGGAGGAACCACCCAAGATCTCTCCATTAATGGGAGAAGGAAGATAGAGGAAAAGAGCCTTTGTTCCTGGTATTCTCCCTCTCCCTGTCTCGGTGCTTTAATGCTTTGCCTGCCTTTAATGCCTTCGGAACAAATCTCAAAGCTGTAAGTCAATAAAGCTCCAAATGCTTTGCAATAAAACTCCAATGTGTTTTGGTGCATCTTCTTTTCCAAAGTTGACCCCAGGTCCAAGGATACTAGGCTTGGGCGGTTTCGTTCGTTAATTTCGTAATTCGTTATTAATTCGTATTTAAATTAGCTTACGATCCGATATTGAGCCATGCAGGAATAGTGTGAGGAGTAATTAAGAATCGAAACAATTTTTCCAATTTTCGTAATTATTTTCATAATATAATATAATATATATAATATAATAAATAAAAATATAATATAATAATAATATATAATATAATATATTATAATACATAATAATAATATATAATATATATATAATATAAATATAATATAATATAATAATATAATATAATATAATATATAAAATATAATATACAATAATATATATAATATATAATATAATATATAATATATAATATATATAATAATATAAATAATATAATATAATATAATATAAATAATATAATAATAATAATATTATAATAACATAATATAATATATAATAATATAATATAATATAATATAATATAATATTGTAAGCCTATTGTAAGCCGCATCGAATCCCTTGGGAGATGCTAGCGGGGTACAAATAAAGTACCCCACTTCCTTGACAATCTTTTCCAGAATCTCACTCTGGACTCAACTGAGATCGAAGCAGGAAAATAATAATAATAATAATAATAATAATAATAATAATAATATATAATATAATATAATATAATATAATATAATATAATATTAATATAATATAATATAATAATAATATAATAATATATAATAATATAATATAATATAATAAAATATAATATAATAATATTATAATAATATAATATAATATATAATAATATAATATAATATAGTTGTTGTTTGTTTTATCACACCAACAGTCAACAACAGAGGGAGAGGGAAGCTTCAGAAGTTCCCCCTGTCCCATTTGGAGGTTTTTTTAGCATATTGCGAAATCGCGTCCGCCATTAACAAATCAATTCAAAATTTACGAAATTTTGTAAATTTCAAAATTTTTTAAAGAAAAAATTCGGAATTCTGTAAAAAAAAACGAAACGCAGTGGAGCCCCTAAAAACGAAACGAGTTTAGAAACAAATTTTTCCGTTGTTACCCAAGCCTAATGGATACAGCTGGGCACCGCTTCAGCTGCCATGGCTCAATGCTATAGGACTCCGGGAGTTGTAGTTTGACGAGGTCTTGAGCCTAATCAGCCAAAGGATTCTGGGACCTCATCAAAGCATAGCAGAGTGAAGATCTATACGGTAGAATTCATTCAGTTTGACGCCTATTCTGTGGCTATATGGGTAGCCAGGGAGACCTTCACGACTGCCCGCATAGTGTCTGCATCTAATAGATCTTCGGAGTTGTTTCGGGTCGTTGGGGAACTCCTTCACCCCCTTGAGGTGGAGGAGGCCTTTGATGACCCGACAACTTGGTGCTGCGAGTTTGCGCTCCACTTTGCAGATAAAGTCGCTCAGACACGCCTTGAGTTGGACTCCAGTTTAAACACAGTGCCAGGGGAGCTGACCGAGGCTTCTGCTTGTCCGGTTTTGTGGGATTCCTTCCGGCTTGTTCGTCCTGAGGACGTGGAGGGGATCCTTGGAGCTGTGAGGGCAACCACGTCGGCTCTGGACCCCTGCCCATCCTGGCTAATTAAATCGGCCAAAGGTGGTTTGATTGATTGGCTTATGTTGATCATTAATGTATCACTGAAGCAAGCGATTTTTCCATCTGGGCTAAAACAGGCTGTGGTCAGACCACTCCTGAAAAAGACCTCCCTTGACTCCACGGTCTTGAGCAACTATAGACCAATCTCCAACCTTCCTTTTTTGGGCAATTAAGGCCTATTAAGGAGCGGGTGATCGCCTCTCAACTCCAGGGCTTCCTGGATGACATCAACTATCTGAGTCCCTTGTTATAATTATAATAATAATTATTAGCATAGATATCTGCAAAAGAAATGTCCAAGAATCCAAAACTTTTCTACCAGGATCAATGTATAATAATAATAATAATAATAATAATAATAATAATAATAATAATAATTTATTTATACCCTGCTACCAGCTTGGGAGTGATCCTGGACTCATTGCTGAGCCTGGAACCCCAGGTCTCAGTGGTGGCCAGGAGAGCTTTTGCACAAATAACACTTGTGCGCCAGTTGCGCCTGTACCTTGGGAAGTCGGATCTGGCCACAGTGGTCCACACCCTGGTTACATCCTGAATAGATTACTGCAACGCACTCTACGTGGGGTTGCCTTTGAAGACTATTCAGAAACTTCAATTAGTCCAGTGGGCGGCAGCCAGATTACTCACCGGAGCGTCATACAGAGGGAGCGGCAGGGGCGGCTCGTCCATTACGCGAAGTAAGCGGTCGCAGAACACTTTTTTTGCCAGGGGCGCAGAGGCGCCTCTGTAAATGCCCCTCGACCGCCACTTGAGGAGCGCCCCCTCAGCTCACAACAGCCCTAGCAGTCCGGGGGGAGCCTCGGCTTTCTTGCCTCACTGCCGGGCGATCCTCTTCCCAAAGGGGCCGGGCCCTTGAGCCTCGCCTCGCCCCTCTCGTTCCTGCTCCACCCGGCCACCGGGTGCGTGAGCAGAGCCGGCGCTCGGGTGCGCGAGCAGAGCCGACGCTCAATTGTTCTCTGCGTTCGATCCCTTCCCCATGACCGGCTCCCTTTCCCGATCCCCCGGTGCTCCACCCACCTCCTCTCCTCTCCCCAATCCGTGGGTGGGCCAAGGGGCAGAGCCGCCATGCCTGGCCTGCTTCGGGCCCAGAGGCATGTCTGAAGACCCCAGCATGCACACCAAAGGTTGCCTCTTCTCCTGACTTTCTCTTCAGCCCTTGGGACCACCTACTAATGACTTTCCTCTTTCAGTACCAAGGCACATTGAACCAAGTAGGAAGATAGAGAGGAAGATAAGTATAGCCAGCCGCCCTCTTGCTTATGTTATTTCTTCCCACACCTGCTCTTTTTTATACAGAACTACACCGTCCTTTTGGCTTTTGTTTTTGGTTTTTTTTTTTTTTTTTGTTTTTTTTTTTGTTTGGTTTTTTTTTTTTTTTTTTTTTTGCGCCTACAAAGCCCTTTAGGTAAGGTGTAGGGCAGAAAAAAAAATTTCCCCGTTTCAACGCTCTGTCTCTGGGCTGTCTCTCCCATGCAGCGCTGTCTCCTCTCTCTCGGCCCCTCTTTCAAGCTTCTCGTCCTCTCTCCCTCCTCTTCTATCTGATCCCCCAGTTCCCATCTCCTCAGCTGCCGTCGCTTTCTCCTCCTCATCTCTTGGTCCCATTTGGGCTGAAGGAGAAAAAGTCAGGAGAAGATGTACTTTTGGTGCCAGGAATTTGCTGGGGGTTCTTTCAGACACGTAGGAAAGCGACCTCCTGTACCCCAAAGACGTGCCAAAGGGCAAGGGGAGCCCGGGGGGCAAATGCCG